TCTCTCTCTCTCTCTCTCACACACACACACACACACACACAGCATCTTGGTTACCCTTACCTTATTCTTGACTTCAGCTGACATGCCATAGGCTGGTCCCCTGTTGAAATGTGTTGCAGACATGATGGGGGCGTACGGTGGGGTTGCTCAGTGCGGTTCTGTGCTTTCCTTGTTGCACGTCAGATCTAACTCTCCAGAGCTTTCCCTGCAAGAGTTTAAAAACTCTTTGCTCTGGCACTTTCCCCCTCCTCCTATCCGAGGAGGAGTTCTTCCATTGGCCAGGCTGCGTGGCCAATCGCCACCTGCCAAGGATGCTGATGTCAGCCTGATGGTATTAAGGAGCAATGGTGTCATTTTTTCCACCTTGAGGGGCTTGTGGGGGGGGGGATTCAGTTCTGTTACTGACTCGATTCCCTGATGGATGGAGATTCTAGATGTTTACAGAAGCCCAAGCATGTGAGAAATGGGGAGATGTTGATGGATCTGATTGGCAGAGCATCCCCTGCCCACAGTTCTTTCTCCCTCCCCACTGGTGCTGCCTCGCCTGCTCCTTTACTTCTGTGTTACTCCATTTCCATGTTATGCTTCTGTGTAGCCCCCTTGCCTTCAACAATTCCCTCCCTCTCTCCTTTCTTGTAGCTTCCCTAAGGAAAGCATCGAGACCGCTCACTTTCCTTTTCCTGCATCCAAGCCTCAAAAGAACGAGTTAGAAAAACAGAATCTAGTCACTCAGAGGGCAAGCACTGTCTGGCCAAGCCTCCTTGACTCTTTCTGCACCGGTTCCTTTTGCTTTGTCTTCTTCTCTGAGTGTTGGGTCTCTTGGGTTATTTTGCACTGGCAGCTGGCATCGTTCCTTTTTGTAGCAAAAGACTTTTGCAAACTATCCTGTGAAACCAAAAAGTTTAACTCCTCATTCTTCTCCAGCAGCAACAAGCAGCTGCCGATCCCATCTGAGTTTGTATTCCTAAAAGCTTTACAATTTAAGTACCAGGCTATAATTCTGCTAGTGAGAATAGAGAAGTTAGATAGGAAGAGACAACTTGCACTTAACTAATCCCTTGTCGTGATTCAGTGAAACTAGCAATTACTGCCGTGGATCCTCTAGACAAGGGTAGGAACTGAACTTCAAGGGTAAGAGATTAAAGAAATTAGCATGAACAGGAATGAGAATTTAGTAGCATATTGCTGGGATTCTCTACCAGCTGACCACTCCTTCACAAACACTCACACCCCATCAATAAATACTATTATTCCACCCACCCCCCAGTCTAAGCCACTAGGTCCTGAATGTCTACCCTTTTGCTATTGCTTCCAGATCCCTAAAAATGGATGGGAAACAGCCAGTCCTTCTCCCACAAATAGACCCAGGCGGCTTGAATCTCCTGAATTCCAGCTGATAATTGGAAGGAATTATCTGATACCTGTTGGGCATCAGGGGAGTTTGGTGTAATAACCTCACCCTTTTGAATCTGAGAAGGCTTGAAAGGCCCTCCCCTTCTGCCGCCCAATCCATGGGAACTAATAGAGTCCACTTCAGATTCAAACTAAACATTTGTCATGGCAGAAACAATAGAAACACACTCAATCTGTTTTGGAAGGGAAGTCACCAACAGCACGGTGTTTTTTAGCTAGGATTCCCTCTGTCAGTTTCTAATGTCATCACCCAAGCTTTGCCTCCACAACTCTTTTCAACACAGGGACCTGCTAGAAAGTCCATGGCCAATGCCTGGGAACTGAGTCTGACGCTTTGTCTAATCCCACCTCACTCCCTTGGAGTCCCTGATTCGAGACCAGCACCCTTATTCTCCTAGATATGCCTGGAGCTTACAGCTATAGGGGACTATGGTATGGTGGTCCTTTACCAAAACCCTGCAAATAAGACTGCCTCGTAGCAATTTCCACAACTTCTTCATCGTAACCCTTACACTGACATCATTGTGAAAGTCTCTCTGCAAAACAGATGGTCCCCACGGTGCCAGTAGGGCAGGCTAAGGACCAGCACAGTCTGAAACAGATTCATCTCTGATCTGTGTAGAGGTTTCATGGTGGGAAGAAAAGGAAACTGGGCAACCATTTACAAAAAAAGCCCTTTGCTGGGAAGAAACAATTAGGATTTCCCAATCTGGATTACAAAAATCTGAAGGGTTCCTAGGAAACAAAAAGAGAATAAATTCAGATATATGTTTGCTCTTCATACATCCATATTTCCTTGAGCTTCCTTATCTGGGCTGCAAAAATCAAGACAATCAAAAACATAGCAATGAAGGGTTTTCTATACAGGCAGTCCCCAGTTAAGAATGAGTTCCATTCCCAAGGTCTGTCCTTAAGTCGAATTTGTATGTAAACTGGAACAGTATTGTTGTATAATACTGTATAAGTACTATTGTATAATAAATCACTGTGGTATTTAACCTGAATTTTGCTACAATAGGCTCCGTTTTTTACTATGGGCCATCCATAAACCAGCCATTCTTAACCCAGGGACTACCTGTATCTTGTTGCCACTACCTAATGGTCATCTGGATTTTTGCAGCACAGATCTAATAGTCCATTCACTAAGGGGAGCCAAAAGAAGAGGCCAATTTTCTGAATAAATTATTAGATTTACGTCCCTCCTGACATTCAGGAGTCCAAGGTGGTGTACATATTCCTCCTCACTACAACCACCTTGAGGTAGGTGGTACTGAGAGAGAATAACTGGCCCAAAATCACCCACTGAACCTCTGTGGCTGAAAATGGATTAAAATCTGGGTTTCCTCATTCCTAGTCCAACCTACACCCAACTGGCTTTTATCCAAAAGGAAGTTTTGCAATTGGTGATGTGCGAATTAAACATCACTGAAAAAAGGCTTGTTGCAATATTCAATGAAACACATCTAAGCTCTGTGATTTTCCACCACAGACCATTTGAAGAGGTTGAAATGTTGCTGGGCTTCACTTTATAAATTTAGTAGCATCCTATCTATCTGCCAAATTGTCTTTGGGGCTGATTCAATTGGGTCGCAGCAATTTCTGTTTTGTAGATGGAATTGCTGAAACTCAAAGCACTTAAAATCTCAAATCATCACTGAGGAGGCTTTTAAAAGCCATGGCTGAATTTAATTTTAAAATACAGTATTTGCCCATGTGTTATGTTGTATCTCAAAGTCAGAACCACAGCTTCCCATACACTAATATCTAAATAATCCTAAGAAATGCTATATATTTCTTTACCATCTGTATATGAATTGAATTGCAACTTGTACATACTCTGAGATTAAACACACACACACACACACCCAAGAGTTTGGGAAGGAACTCTTGTCTTACATAAAGTTTTTCTACTTGGTTGTCTGCATTAAAATCAATTAGTTTAGCTTAATTTTAGAAAAATGGCCTGATAGAAAAGTAGATAACATTTTTCTTATCAATACTCAAACATGGAGTCATCCAATGAGCTTTTGAAGGAATAGATTTAGTATAATTTAAAAAAAAAACCTTTTTTACACAATGCATCTTTAGCATGCAGTGACTGTTACAAGTTACAATATTTGATAGTTGCCTTTTTAAAAATTAGAGAATAAACAGTCTATCAGTAGCCATTAACTATTGCAATAAAATGGAGATTACAGGGCATATTATTAGATTTATGTCCCTCCTGACATTCAGGAGTTCAAGGTGGTGTACATATTTCTCCTCACTGCAACCACCTTGTGAGGTAGGTTGAGAGAGAATAACTGGCCCAAAATCACCCATTGAACCTCTGTGGCTGAAAATGGATTAAAATCTGGGTTTCCTCATTCCTAATCCAACCTACACCCCTATAAGGTAGACAGGACACCATGCATACCTAAAGCTACTTTTATTAGAACAGGTACAGTAACAGATTCTTGCAAGACTGAATGTGCTTCCCTTCCTCTCTCTTTTATCTTCATGAGAATTGGAGGGGGGATGCTGTCTGAGGCATTTTCATAAACCACTTATTTGGCCTGGATTCAAGTCTCATTTATCTGATCATTGCCTTGGTAGCAGATCTTTCTTCCGTCCTTCAAGGCCATCCTCCTTACTCATTACAATTCAGGACAGCGTTTGGTGGATTTATTTCCTTCCTCTCCCCTCACACGTCATTTGGAAGTGGAAAATATCTACCAATCATTCTCCTTAATATGAGATGTTGCTGGGGTGAGGAGGTAGGGAGCTGCAGCAGGTGGCTGGACTGGTGGGATCAGCCATCGATGTAGACTTGCTCTGATTTTGTCCCAGTGCGTATATTCAAAGGGAGCCTGACTATCCGCTAGTATCAGCTGACAGTTGGGCTCCTTCTGCATGCACGTTTAAGGCTACTCCAGAACACGCTATACCCATGTTCAAAAGGAGCTGGACATGGGTTTAGTGCTATTCCAGAAGAACGCTAAAACTGTACTGAAAAGCAGCCCGAAGAACAACTCACAGGTGGGGGAGAATTGGGCCATGAAGCAGCAGGAGAAAGAAAGAGACAACACCCATTCACCTCCACTGATCTGTTGCTATTTAGGCTAATCTAGGTCTCCTGGTTGAGTAGTTAGCTTACCTAGATGAAAGACTTGAATAGAGATCAAGTCCATTTTGGACTCTCCTGCTGTCCAAAATGGAATACCCCTGGAAAACAGTGCCCAAGGATTCAAGGGGAGGCGGTGTGCCTGAACCTACCTAAGGTGATCAATAAGTGCCAGGCTAATCCATTCCCTGTGGAATAGCATCTGTCTGGAGATCCAGATGGCCCTCACCCTCTTAGCCTTTTGTAATGAATCAGTTGGTTTGGATTGTTTAAAGCAACTTTAAGATGGGTGGACTTCAGCTTCCAGAATTCCCCAGCCAGCCATGGGGAATTCTGGGAGTTAAAGTCCACCCGTCTCAAAGTTGCCAAAGTTCAGAAACACTGCTTTAAACTGTTTTTAATTCTGTGCAGTGTTGTGAGATAGGCAACCATATAAATCATTTAAAAGAATAAATATAAATAATCTCACATTCTGCCGCTAACAGAATATATCCACAGCAAACTAGTGTCA